ATCAACGCCTGCAACCAGTTTTATACGAACCTCGCAAACTTTTGTACACGTTCTCTTATGATACCTGCGAAAGTATTCAGTATAATTTCCGGTGAGATTTTTGCGGACAATCTGATCGATTTCGCTTACATTGTGTTCTGAGACTGACACTTTTCACCTCGACCAAGGCTCCGTCGCACGGCCCAAACAACCAAAGCGAGCAACTGAGTTTCTTGTATATGTGCGTGTTAAAACACACGAAAGGACTGTAAAGCACACTTCACTCTGATTGGGCAGAAAAACACAAAGATTTTTTGGCACCAGTCAGATGACAGAACGACTGCGACCGTTTGGAACTAGTCTTGTAAGACAATGTCCCCAGGGGCTCTTCTGCCCTTAACTTGAAATCGACTCACAGCCCCTGGGTCTTCTGCCCCTAACTTGAAATCGATTCACAGCCCCTGGGTCTCCGAGGATGGGGACGGGTTGGCGTTTCCCGATTACGGTGTATAGGGAACATTTCGGCAACCTCGCTGAATGTGTCCGACTTGGTCACACCTGTAGCACGTAAGAGGACTGTACTGGTCTCCCTGCGAACCTCTACTCTGTTCTCTAAAAGGCTTCAGCTCGGCAGGTGGAGAGAGTTTACAGGCAAGGGCAGACTTCTCCTCCTTGGCCATTGTAGCACAAAATTCGCTCGCCCACTTAGGCTGTCGCCTGCTGGTACTTGACAACTCGTTTGGGCATAGGTGATAAATCAACTTCTCGCTCTCCACATCGAGCGGCGAAAATCCTTGGGTTTCACCCACGTGACCAATACCTTAGCAACGGTTAATATCCGCCATCTTGGTGTCCCTCGAGCGTAAACAAACCGTATCTAACGAAGAGTTCATGTGAGAAAGAAGGGATGGTTTTATGCATTATTGTTGGCTGTTCGAGCAAAAGTGGAAAGCGTAAAGACTAAGGATTTTTTCGTATAATAATTTAATAATTTTATGATCTCTATAGCGCAAAATTCATTATATATATGATCTGATGCGCTATACCTAAGATCATCACAAATCAAGGGGAAGAACAGGAGGAACCAGAAGTTGTTGTATGGTTCGAGGCTTGCGGCTGTTGTAGATCCTCGATTTTTTGGTCGAGCTTTTCTTTGAGCTTCTTAGCCGATGAGAAATCGATGTCTTTAGCCCTCGCATACGGCACTTCATTGACCTATGTCGGCAAAATCCATGAGCATTTTACCTGAGTGCAAGTAAGCTTGGGGTGTCACGAAAACTCACACCCCGAAAACTCAGACCTCAGACCTCAGACCCCGAAAACTCAGACTCCTCGAAAATTCAAGAGATAAACTCGACTCATGATCACTCCTGGNTCGCGATATGTGAGCATGACTCAGCCAGTCCAGCTTTGCATCCCAAGCAATGGGCTGACAAAATAGTCCCATCATTTTCGGAAATGACCCAAATGTTCACTAAAGGATCATTCATATGCTGTGAATGCCAAACTCGTGCTCTCACGGCATACTTGCCGGCGATTACTTTGCCTACAACTGAGGTTACAAATCCCGACACCATTTGATTAAACGCCTCTAGACTCTTGAACGCCTTGAACTGCTTCTTGGTGTAGAAGCTGGTCTCAAGAACGAGGTAACTCAGCAAGTCCGACGCTTCCACAGGAGGCAAGCATTTTGGACTGAACTTCTCGGCTGGTATGCTTGCAGGGTCAACCCCAATGACCGAGATCTTTTGCAAACATCTTTCCTTCCAACTCTCTAAGCTTTCGGCATACTCAGAGAGCACTGGGATACCTTAAGATGAATGCCGGATACTTTTATCGCTTTTTCTGTCTGGATATTCATGTAGTTGGCGAAATAATACGGCGATAAGAGAGAGGGCTTCACTATAGAAATCGACTAATTATTCATGAATTTGACACCCGAGGGACACCAACATGGCCGACACTAACTTCAGCAAAGCTTGTGACGTCACCTGAAACCCAACCATAGGTTCACCGAGCGTCTTGCATTCACTTTTTTTGTGCCGCGCCTTATCTTTGATTGAAGATTTCAGACCCTCCCAAAACAGTATTCTTAGATGTTGGTCCAATGCGGTGTCACAGATCTAATAATAATAATAATAATAATAATAATAATAATAATAATAATAATAATAATAATGATAATAATAATAATAATAATAATGGTCTTTATTAAAAGCAATAATGCATCAACCGTGTCATTATTTACAAAAAATGAAATATAAAACAGATTAAGATAGAAATACAACTAACTATTAATGGCAGACAATGCGAAAAAGACATCTATTTACAAAAGTGGATTTAAAACGTGAAGTACGTATCTGTGGCATGCGTTACAGATCTGAGACATGCGTGAGAAGATACCTCCCGGATACGTGTGCTGAGGTGCGTCACATTTAGTAGAGATGCTTCGCACGCAAGCCACAGAGGCGTTAGATATTTCCCAGAGTCGTCCGTGAAATTCCGACGTCCCAGGGGTCTCCTAAACCCGTAGTTTGCGTCACAGATCTGCTGCATGCGTTAAAGATCTATGGCATGCATGAGAAGACGCCTCCGGGATACGTGTGCTGAGGTGCGTCGCATGTAGTAGACATGCTTCGCAAGCAAGCCACAGAGGCGTCAGATATTTCTTACAGTCGTGCATGAAATCCCGAGGTCCCCAAGGGTCTCTTAAACCCGTGGTTTGCGGCGTCACAGATCTGTGGCATGCGTTACAGATTTGTGGCATGCGTGAGAATATGCCTCCCGGAAACGTTTGCTGAGGTGCGTCACGTGTAGTACAGATGCTTCAAACGTAAGCCACAGAGGCGTCAGATGTTTCCCAGAGTCCTGCGTAAAAACCCGATGTTACAGGGGTCTCCTAAGCGAGTGGTTTCCGTCACAGATCTGTGGCATGCGTTTAAGATCTGTGGTATGCGTAAGAAGATGCCTCCCCGATACGTCTGCTGAGGTCCGTCACATGTAGTAGAGGTGCTTCGAGTGCAAGCCACAGAGGCGTCAGATGTTTTCCAGAATCGTGCGTAAAATGGGGAGATCCCAGGGGTCTCCTAAACTCGTGGTTTGGGTCACAGATCTGTGGCATGCGTGGGTAGATGCCTCCCGGATACGTGTGTTGAGGTGCGTCATATGTAGTAGAGATGCTTCGCCTACAAGCCACAGAGGCGTTAAATGTTTCCCAGAGTCGTGCGTCAAATTCCGAGATCCCAGGGGCCTCCTAAATATGTACTTTGCGAAACAGATCTGTGGCATGCGTTACAGATCTGTGACATGCGTGAGAAGATGCATCCCAGATACGTGTGCTGAGGTGCGTCACATGTAGTAGAGATGCTTCGCACGCAAGCAACAGAGGCGTCAGATGTTTCCCAGTGAAATCACGAAATCTTAGAGGTCTCCTAAACCCGTGGTTTGCGTCACAAATCTGTGGCATGCGTTAGAGGTCTGTTGCATGTGTGAGAAGATGCCCACTGGATACGTGTGCTGAGGTGCGTCACATGCAGTAGAGATGCTTCGCATGCAAGCCACAGAGGCGTCAGATTTTCCCAGAGTCTTGCGTCAAATCCCGAAGTCCCAAGGGTCTCCTAAACCCGTGGTTTGCGTCACAGATCTGTGGCATGCGTGAGAAGATGCCTACCGGATACGTGTCCTTAGTTGCGTCACATGTAGTCGAGATGCTTCGCTCGCAAGCCACAGAGACGTCAGATGTTTCCCAGAGTCTTGCGTGAAATCCCGAGGTCCCAGGGGTCTCCTGAACCCGTGGTTTGCATCACAAGTCTCTGGCATGCGTGAGAAGATGCCTCCCGTCTACGTGTGCCTAGGTGCGTCACATGTAGTAGAGACGCTTCGCACGCAAGTCACAGAGGATAAACTAGACATATGTAGTCAGGGTTAAATTCACTCGAGTTGTAAAAGGGCTTGATGTCTTCCCATTCGGCCGGTCAGTATCAGTAATAGTGACTGTCGATTTGACTGTTAAACCAGACTACATATGTTAAAACCAGAAGTGCATATGTTAAACCAGAAGTGCCAAGTCTTTCTAGCGGAACACAAGTGTTCGGTTTTTCGCGGATATCGGTGAATAAAATGTAATGGGTTCACTTTCGCATGCAATTGGCTCAAAAGTAAAGGTCTACAAGATCTAGTTTTAAAAGCTGAGTGGAGAATCACGGTCAATGATGTTGTCGTCTTTAGGCGCTTGAGAAGGGAATTTGAACGTGATTTTGGCAAACCAATCTTCTAAAGTTCGAATGTCCGGTAGGGAAAATGCTGAAGCTTAGAATTGATCGATGCATAAGGGTACTGAATAACAACTCGAGCGCAATTTTGAACGACTGATAGGGAACCCTTTTGTTATGTATTACGACTGCAAACAGTCTTGTTTACAATAGTCACGTCATGGTGTAACTTAACAAACAACCCTAGTGCAGTCACTCATTTCCTTCTTACTACTTCGATCCTACACCGCCCCCCCAGTTAGCTCAATTGGTTAGAGCGCCGGATTGTGTTGTGCGGCAGGTCGAGGGTTCGAGCCCCGGCCAGGCCAATACTCATGGTCTTAAAATGAGGAGAATTTGCTACCTTTCTATAATCAAGAAATGGATAGATATTCTAGTCTTCTCGGATAAGGACGAATGAACCGTAGGTCCCGTCTCCTGCAGGTTTAGGGGTAGGAGACGTTAATTACCCACGCACGAGATTACTGTGTTGTAGATATCCTCCCCTGGGGTGGGATGGGTGGGAATTGGCCCTAAAAAGCCCCCATGGGGAGTGGTCAACTAACGTACCTATGTATGTATGTATCCTGGTAACAAGAAAACTGGACCAGTTGCAAAAAGACTTTACATTGGGTGAGGAGCCAGGAGTTTCGACAAAATTTGACAAGGATTGTGGATTGTTTCATGTACCGATTAAAATGCAATGGCTTAACGACCACTTGGTTTCTCTGTAAAAAGCTAACTACACATCACTACATCAACAGCTTGAAGTTACCATGGAAAAATGTGATGTTCCATAAGCATTACTTTAATAACTAATATTCCATGACATCTAACAGTCATTTGACTTTTACTTCAATACAGGTTGAATGTCTTACTTAACTAAAAATATACCTCAATGTTTTAACCAAATATCTGACCAACAAGTCATAAAATATTCACTTGTTAATAATTTAACAGCAATATACAGCTCCATAAAATAATATACATTATAAAATTATACTTGTTTGAGTTATTATTTTCTTTATAAAATCTCTTATTCTCCTCTTAATTTATACAGTTAAAAATCATAGTTTTCAGTCGAACGCAATCTTTTTGCAAATTTCAATCACACCTGCTAGACTTATAACCAGCTGGAATGACTCATAAAAAGAAATATGTATAGGCTAGGCAATAATAACAAGAGGAACAGCCATGTAGTTTACATGGAACAACACAACCAGTAATGATCTTGAAAAAATTCAAACTTGAACACACATAGACAAGTAACATATAACAACTAATGCAGCTTTGCACCTTTGGGGGATCGTTAGCAAAATAAATGAACCCTTTTCCTCTAGAAGCAATCTCTACCTAGGTTCTCCTTGCAAATTCATTACACTATTAAAACAGACTTGTAAGGGGAAATAAAAAAGAAATGTCAACTAAAATATATTGCTTGGAAACAACACCCAACTCTCAGAGAATTTTATTGTACCCATTTGGGAGAATCAGCTTGCAGGGCCTGTGAGATGAAGTTCTAGGCCATCACACTTTCTTTCAGAATCTAGGTGAAATTTGCATGCAAAGCTACTGTAAAACAAGTCCAAGTGAATATTACATTCTGCAATACTGCCATTTGAGTCCCAAATGAGCACTATTTCTTTGTGCAGACAGAACACAAGGTAGCAAAGCATCATTAAATCAGCAACCACAATACTGAAGGAAGTTCCAGCACTCACAAAGACAACACCAAACCGTTACTTACTCTGCTATTCAAATATCACGTGATTGAAAAATGTTCTCCCCTAGTATTGGAATCAATGCAAACCAATTAAAAGCTCCATACACTTGTTTCAAAACACCATTACGTATACCTGTGATCTTGCAGTTTTGGCATTTGACACACTTTTCCAACAATTTAAACATCATAAGAATCATGTAACATGACTTCAGACAGCCCATGCAACTTGGGGTACATCACTGGATATAGGGAACATCAGAAAGATAATTTGCACTTGCACATTGACATGTTGTTTACATAAAAAATTAACAGTTAAACAATGTTACTGATACCAGTTAACGCCATCCTCAATACATATATATTCAGCATCCATAAAAACAGCTTCATCCATTTTGCCATTTTCACAGAATGAACACACAAGCCTTAGAAAGGTAGAGTATCTTCAGCCTGGTTTTGAAATTGAGGTAAAATTAGCTCAGAAATGGAACACTGCACAAAGGGAAAAAAAAAAGAATACTGAAGCTATCATTTACACAATTTTCAAATAAACCTCTATTTCCCACAAGTAAGAATAACTGAGGCTAATACTTCTCTTTAGATGGTTGTAGATTTGAGATACCAGTACCTGAAAGAACATAGGAATAAGGGACTACTAGCCACACAGATATTACTCATTTAACCTACACAAACTCAGTTCACTAAACCTCTAGAAACTGCTGAAGAGTCAAGTGAAATGGTATTAACTCCAACCAGGCTGTCTTGGACACCAGCCATACTAACACTTGAACTGACGGGCATGTGGTGTGGAGAACTAACAAGATTGTTTTCCCCACCATTTTGAACCATGGTTGGCAATGGAGAATTCTGAAGAGATGGACTGCCTTGCTGAATGTTAGAATACATGGGAGACAAACTGCTAACTGAAACAGTTTCCACTTGTGATGACACAGTTGGTGCGATCATTGTTGGGTGTGTCGTGACTACTGATGAACTTTCTGATGCCGACACTGTGGTGACGTGGCTTGCTGAGGGAGGTAGTGTAACAACAACCATGGTGGTTGGTGTCCCTGCAGGTTGTTGCAAAGTGACAGTGCCTGGGATGACTGTTGTACCTTGAACATTAGGTATTGTTATAGCAGTTGGTAATGCCACACCGGGAGGAACACTGACAGTTGTACCAGGGGGTACTGCTTGTAGCTGGACAGCCCCCTGTACCATGGCTGCTTGAACAGTCACTGGTGCTGGAGCTATTGGAATGGTGTTGAACTGGCTAGGAACAAGAGTGTCAGGCCAAAATCTCTGAGCAGGTCTACTCTGGATTTTAGACTTTTTGGCTTTTGGTCCTTCAGGATTGCTTGCATCCAACATTGGTTGTAAAATGCGACGTCTGGCATTTATAAACCTACAGAGAAAGATAACTTTCAGTTTCACAAAGAAACAGCCAATTCCTTGCCAAAAACCCTATTGAAAATGTACTCATTGTTTGCTGACAAGACATCTTTAGCCAAATACATGATGAGTCTAGCTCTATAAGCTTACCAGTTGTTTACTTGAAGTATTGTTAGATTTGTTTGTGCTGCAATAGCTCTCTTCTCATCCTCTGTTGGATATGGATGCTAAGGAAAAAAACATTTTAAAAACAAATTACTTCTTTCAGGAACTCTTTCTTTCCAAGACTCCTAACTTGTACAGGAAAATGATTTTGTAAACCAGTCAAGTCTCTGTCGCAACCAAATTCTTGTGTCAGACAAGAATCTCTTTATGCCACATGAGTTTATTTGTTAAATTTTGACGCTAAAAGGAATTGTGACATAACAAATTATCAAGATCAACTCACCACCAGATGTTGAAAAAGCCAGCTCTTCATAATGTTTGTTGCCTGCTTGGGTAACACTCCCCGTCTAGTTCTCTTTTTATCAGTGACCTCTGTTGGCGAGTCCAGGGCAGGAAGAGGAACACAGGAGGGAACCGTTATTTCTGTAGGAGATTCATCTCCAGAAGAATGTGTTTGCAGTCTGGGTGGTGTGACAGTCTCAACAGTTGGTGTGCTGACGTAGGTTACATTTGCTGGCACTGTGGTATATGTTACAGTTGCTGGCACTGCACCATATGTTACTGTGGAAGGGACAGTGGGCTGTTGGGGAACCTGTGCTATGACAATCTGCTGATTAGGTGCCACTCCTTGTGGAACATATGCAACAGTTGCAACTTGCTGTTGAACTGGAGAACCAATGACGCTTGCACTAGGAGTTGCATTTGCTACTGTGCATGGAGCCACAGCAGGGGCAGCATAGTAAGTGATTTGCTGTTGTGGGAGAAATGTTGATGGTTGTCCTTGGATTTGAGTGGTCGCCTGTTGTTGTACATTTGCATTTAACACATTCACTGCAGGAGAGTATGCAGACTGAAGAGGGCTGCGTAACAAATTTTCACTCTGCATTTTCCCTTTCAGACAAGCAATGTATCTCTGGCAAAAATCTTTGCAAAGTTCATTCACTTTTTCCAGCTCTAGAAGGTGTATCCTGAGTACTTGAATAGCTTTTACCATCTGTTGACAACACAAACAAGATCTCATTAGTAACTCTCCTTACTGCCTGGTATACAATTCTCTATGATGTTAGTTTAAAGGATTTGGTGTTAGATCAACAAATAATCCCCTACTTTTTATATTTTTTTCAGAAAGAGTACCATATAACCCCATACATTAATTATGCATTCCACTTCTTTGTCTTTCACGACAAAACTTTACAAACAAAGTCTGCTAGTCTGAATGCATAATTAATGTATGGGGTTATATGGTACTCTTGCCATTTTTCCTTTGTTCTCATCACTTGTCTGCTTAATATTGTGTTGATAATGGAAGGAGAAATTCTGTCTTGGTCGCTCGAATTTTGTTGAAAACAAAAATTTTTGTTTATAACCATGTGAGCTGTATTTCAATTGTAATAATAAAATCTAGGAATAAATGAACAAAAAATAGAAATGTTCTCTTGCAGAGTACACTAAAGAGTAAGGAAAGCTTTGAACCAATAAAAACCTCACACACAAGTTTTTCATAGGTTTAGCAAACACTAAAAAGGCGGAGGAAATTGAGAACTTAACTTCCACCTGTGCTTGTTTTGCCAGTAACAAAACAAATCATCTGAAGTCTAAAGACATTCTAGATAATCATATCCTGAAAACTCAAAACAAACATCCTGGAGAAAACGAAAATACTACAATTTGCGAGTAAAATGAACGAAAGTAAAAACAAAACTTCAAAGACCACGACTATGTTTGCTAAAAAATTTACATCGTAAATAAAACAAATTGTATTTCTCAGTAAGTATTTACATATGTAAAAAGCAATTCATTGAAATTGCTTCCTTAGGGTAACTCGACTGCAATACACTTACCGAGTTAATATTAGCAGAAATATAGAAAACGATATTACGTTTTTATAATCCACCCATATTCCAAAACAACGACCAAATCTAGCGATCAAGAAATCATGCCACAGCTGGACTGAGAAAGAGGACGGGAAATCCTCGATCAGAAGGAAAGTGAAAGTATTTAACAAAAATTTCACAATTCGGCTTTGGGAATAAGATAATTGTGAATATAGATGCCTCAGGGAAAACAGGGTTTATCGTGTTCTTAGAATGGCACGTTCTATAATTGATTTGTATGGATTCATGGATGACTCGGTATGAGTTTACTTTCAGAACGCCATTAAAAGCTTACAGTTAATCTGGATTAAAATTTGCTAGTGTCATCAAGAAGCAAAACGAAACACCATTTACGGTACCTGTACTGAAACACGCGAATAGTGTGCGTTTTCGCTGAAAAAATCTATCCACCCGCCATTCACAATACATAGAAACATGGCGGGCACTTTCAGCAACAATTGTGTGTAAAAATTTGCGAAGAGCTTACAGACTTTGTAGCTTTCGATAGAACAACGCCACAAATAACAAGTCTGTTGATTACAACATTTGAAACAATTGTAGCTCGAAGTTTAATCCATCAAAAGATTCACTTGTAGATAGCTAAGTTCTTCAATGTCATCTGTGACCCAAAACAAGTCGAGATTACTTTGAGATTTGACAAAATTATGATCAACCCGTCTCAACAAACGAAAACCTTTGGCGATTTAAATCTGACGAAGTATAAAGTAAGCTTCGGCTTTTCTTACCAAGTTGTCGAGATCGCGATCTTCCGTATAGAAAGGCTTTCCTTCCCTATTCATCTGTAAAATTCCATTCTTAATTTCGTTGTCAAATGCCGTGGCAGGAGTGCATTCACAGGTTTGAGTTGACTGCTCGCACTTTTCAAACAACTTAGCCAAAAGAGGCAATAAAGGATGGCGGTAGATGGCTTGCTTTTCCGCCTCCATGTTTGAAAGTTGTTGCAAGTCGACCGCTTGAACAGTTATCTGGGCTTCGTCGTAAGATGGTGGGGGCATCTTGTCCGCTTGTGTCTGTTGCAGAGATATGCCTCCATAATGAGCCGAAGTAGCAATGTTTTGGCTTTGAAGCATGTGACTGGTGGCCACTCGATTCGCAAGCCCTTCCATCGAAGGCTGCCTGTTCGAAAAGAGAAAAGACAATGTTATACTCGACTGGCATTTTAGCTGCGAACGTACCCGCCAGGAAGACCAAATGAAATGATAATCGTTGCACTGTTAATGTGTTTGTATGGGAGGTTGAAAGACTTACAATTGGTCACTATTAAAAAGAAATGCACGAGGCGATGGAACAGCGACGGTGTCACTCACTCGTCAACGTCAAAAAACTCCTTTTGGCGCGGCCTTGCCTTGCCTGATTGACAGCGCCAACTGACGAATTTTCACATAATTACTATTGTCACCATGCTAATTTATACCTGTCGCTCACTGGAGAATAATTGATGCATGCATAATTAATAAACTTTATAATGCCTATGTCGGCTTTTGTGCCATGATGTGATTCAGCTGCAAAAACAACATCGTCGATTCTCTTTTTACTGCTACTTAATTCCTCAAAAGATCAGTCATAACCAGAAACTTCACCTCAAAGATGGAATTTTATATTCCTGCTACACGGTAAAATAAAATTTAAAAAATCGCCCCAGAGAAAAATAATAAAAACATTTCCTTCGACCCTAATTGTGGGAGGTTCCAAGGAGTGTTGTGACAACAAAGGTTCCGAGAACGGGTGGTTTTAATAATATGTGTTGCACTATTGGGGGCGTACTTCTTGACTAATTGTATTAGCATTCCTTTAAAGCAGGACCTAGGGGTTCGGAATTTCTCTTCCCGTCCCCCTCCCAACAAATTGGCAACTCTATATGGTACAAACTTGAGATGAACTGCAATACATACTTTTTTATTCACCCTTTTGATATATTTTCTTTACGTCACGCGAAGTTCACGAGAAAGGGGGTTTTAAAATTCTATTACATAAAAAATTGCAGTTACACCGCGCGATCAAGCGTTAGTCTCAGCTATTGGTTTGTTGGGGAGACGGACTACATATTTTTTTTCAATTTCTCTGCTCAAAAAAATAATTTAAAAACATCTGATCTTAGAGAGGGAGAATCAAATCAAAATACGTACTGAAGCTTCAAACATCAATTTTTGTCAACAAGATGTTCAAATACGATGACCTATGTTCAGCTTTACTATTCCCTCAGGAAAAACATCTGTGATATTTTAAATAGTTTGCCGAGTTCTTCAAATGACGAAAAAGCCACTGCCACATGAAAAAACACGATTTACGATAATTTAAATTACTACACTTATTGAGGTCCGCTGATTTCCTTTAAAAGCCATTTTTTAATCCCTATTTTACCACATGTAAGTTTATAAAGGACAGACCTTAAAATTGTTCGCCAGATATCTTTAACTCACCCCTCCCCGAAAGACAACTGTGAGTCTATACAAAACACGCACTCATCATTTGTTGAGGTGATTGACAGCAGATAGATAATTTACAAGGCATCAATTTGCGATTAGAAAGAATGAATGACACGAAACAAATTGTCTGTCAAATTTGGAGAACAGACAGGGCTAACAACAATACACAAAAGCACCGACAGATAAAACATAATACTGTCAATCTTACGGCATGCAAATCTGTCCATTCAAGATATTTTTGTTGAAAAGGTTTCGTAAGAGTTCTGCAGAAGAGGTAATATCTAATTAGCATGTACGGCCGCAATAGATGGTTAATTTCTTTTTCTCCGTTTAATAACGGATTCAAAACCTTCAGGGGAAAATGCTGCCGAAATATGCCAGAAACAGAAAAAAAAAACATACCTATATGTATCTATATGTACTTTAGCTTTTCTTCTTGAAATGAAATATTTAAAATTGCAATCTTGATTGAATAGTTGTTTAAGCAATATGATATATTCAAGAAGAAAATTATCCCACTTGAACTTTCTTTAAGATAAAATAAAAAAAATATACGTATTTTCCTTTGATAGCAGAGTTTTACTGTGTTCGTGCTGTGCTAAGAGGTCTCTCGGCAAACCTTGCCGTCTAAAACAATGATATTGCGGTATCTATGGATTTGCAACGTTAGTTATTTTAGTGGTAATGGCTTTATCGAAAGCTAACTTGACTGCCTGGGGGGCTGATTCACTGTCTCAGTAACATATTGACTCACTGACGGACAAACGGACCCGCGACTGAACAAAGGAACGAATAGACTGACGAATCAATCAATGAAAGGAATAACAAATGAACTAACGAAGGAGTGAACGAATGGACGAACAAACGGACGAAGAAAAAAATTAATAGATCACGGAATGAAGAAACGAATTAACTAACACGAAGGAGCGAACGAATGGAAGAAGGAACGAAAGTAGGAAAGAAAGAACGCGTGAAAGCATGAACAAACGAACGAAGGAATAAACGAACGAGTGAATGAACGAATAAAAGAGCCAATGAATGAATGAACAAACAAATGAAAGAACAAACGAACAGACGAAGGTAGGAAGGAATGAATGAAAGAACGAAAGGTTGAATGAATGAATGAATGAATGAATGAATTAGTTAATTAATGAACGATGTAAGAAGTGAAAACAGGAACAGACTCTGCTCGGAGACACTTGTAGACCAGAGGCGGATCCAGGAATTTTTGATTGGGGGGGTCCAAACTTTGATTCAGAAAGGACTCTGGGACTCTTTGAGGCAGATTACTTCTCCCCCAGACCCCCACACCCCCTCC